GTTATGATCCAACAGTAGTTCAAACTTGGGCAGTCGGTTCTTCAGTAGATTATGCATCCGTTCCATCACCTGGAGTTCCGACAATACAAATTCAGCCGTGGGGCCAAGGATGTCCTAGTGGTTTAAATGATACAGGAAGTAATCCTCAAAGTCTGTTTTGAATTTATCTGCTTTAAAATACATAAAATTTTAAAGAGGGTTCCCCAGAGGATTGTGTTTGTATGTATAAAGGAGCCGATGGAAATGTTAATTGGAATGACATTTCATGCTATCGTAAACTAGCAGGAGGCATTTGTAAACGTCCTTGTAATGGTGTAAGTTCTGGAAAAATGTGTGGCATAAATGGATGGCAAGTGGCAAATGATAGAGAATACAAACAACTTCCGATTTCCTATCCTGGAAATTATTGGCAGGCAAAATATTTTTCAGATATACAATTTTAAAATATTTAAGGCTATAGCTACTTGTCAAAGTGTGGGCGCTAAAGTAGCTTCTATTCATTCTGAGCTACAACAAGCTACAGTTTCATATGTAAGCCAAACTATACAAATAAATTGTTCTTGGATTGGGTTGCATAGAAATGCTATACTTGGAGGACAGATACACAATTTTTGGGATGATGGCAGTCCTTCAGATTATGGAGTTATAGTTCAGGTAAAAAGTAGAATTCTTATCTTATATTTTTCGAAAATATTTTAAAAAGCTTAACGGTGGAAATACTCCATGGTCTCTTGGATGTCCAAAATCTCTAGGAAATACTAGTTGCCCGACTTCAAATGATTGTACTGCAGTTGTTCCACCAGCCGGCTTGATCTTGATTGTGTAAGCTCTTGTGGTGCTGTTATTTGCGAGAAGGAATGCAATCCGTTAACTCTAACTCAAAATGATTTATTTTTATGATTTAAATTCAATAGAAATGGAAGGATTAGATCGAATCTTTTTGTTTTAAAAGCAATAATGTTGACATTTTTTCTATTATATTACCAAATTTCATACAACTAACTCGAAGGTCAGAATGTTTGCTAAATAAAGGTGTCATTTATCATGTTTCATAAAATAAAATAGATTCCTTAATACCAAAAAGATACAAAAACTTTACCACTTTACCATCTATCACCTGCATTTCGGGTTATAAAATTTTCGTATTTCGCGCAAACAGCGAACTGGCACACTCCTGATAATTACATATTATTTAAATAGATTAATTTTTAAATTTTTTTAAATTAATTTTATAAAAAAATAAAATATTTAAACATCTAAACTTTAGTGATTTCAATATATTCAAGAATATTAATACAAATGTTAATTATTTATAAATAGTGAGCGGAATTTCTTACCGTAATAACGGTTTAGGTTATTTGAATGACGTTATTATCTTAATACCGTTATAATTGTCTAATCAATGCTTATTTTTCCTGGATATTTTACAATCAAAATTTTTTTACAAAATTTTTCGCATCTTAAAAATCAACAAATCATTTTTAACGGTTAATAATTGCTAGATGATCTAACAGTGATCCAAATATACGAGCTTAGATGTTAAATTCCTCAATATTTCTATTATTATTTTTAAAAATATTAATTTATGAATTTCTATTCTATTTACTTCAATAATTAAATTTAACAATTTTACTTCAAATTATGCAAACTTTTGTTTTTATTTAAAGGCTCTCTAAATACAAGGAGCTTTCAGATAATGCACACTTGATAATATCTTTTAAACAATGTAACCTGGGAAGTCTATAAGTAAGAAGTAGAGTTGATCAAAACGATACTGGTATCGGACAACCCGAGACCGAGATTGACCGATACTCAAAAACCCGATACCGAGACCGATACCATCACTTTGGGCCGAGACCGATACCGAGAAACGATACTGACCGAGACTAACAGAAATTTTTATTTTATGTCAAAAAATACGTGTAAAAATAATTTATTCATTATTTTTATCATCCAAATCATCAAATAAATACTTCCTCATCTGGATCCGATCTGGCTTGGCAATGAATACTAATTTTTGTGTCCGTATCCGAATAGGTATATCCGTGAGGTCACGGATATACCTATTTGAGACATATCCATTTGAGGCATATCCATCCGCGGGTATCCGCGGATGGCCGAAGTGAAAATTTCGGTTAACCAAACTATTATTTCAGCGCCGCAGGTAAAAATTTTTAGAATTTTAGAAGTGCAAGTCAACAGATTCTTCCAATTTTCAGCGCCGCAGGCGAAAATTTGTAGTTTTGAAGGCCAAGAAGCAGAATTCTTCCTATTTTTGCCCTCAGAACGCAAACTCAATGCGCTCATCACTGCTTCCGATCCTTTTAAATCCCCTTAATTCACTGGTGGGAACAATAGTTGCCAAAAATCGGAAGGCTCTGTAATCAAAATCTTGAAAATCTAACGGCCGAGGGCTCGGAAAATTCAACATTTCAGCGCCGCAGACGAAAATTTTTTAAATTTTAGAAGACCTTATTCGAAAAAAATCCGCTTTCTCTGTTATGGACGGATATCCGAAAAAAAATATGGACAAAAACTTGGACAATATTGAGAATTTTGTTTCTTTGAGTCAGTATCGTTTCTCGCCGAGAAATGGACCGAGAATATCGGTATCGGTTTCGAGACCGAGAATGAAAAAACCGAGACCGATATTGGAAAAAAAGCCGAGAATCTCGGTATCGGTCTCGGTATCGGTCTCGTCTTGATCAACTCTAGTTAGAAGTCTATTTCTTTTAAGGATGATAAACTAGAATACATATAAGTTTTCTAATGAATACAAAATTTTATCGACAGCAATGAAAAATTGACAATTCTTCTCAAACATTAAAAAAGTGATTGAAACACAAGAACGCAAAAATGGTGGAAAAAATTTTTACATTTTCAATTAAAAAAATGAGGCATACTTCATTGGGCGTGTGCAGATGTGATTTAAGAGTTTGAATGAATAACGATTTCGAGGCCTAGGATATATCGCTTTTAATGCTCCAAATTCTTTATACTCCCTTAATGTTTTCAAATAACTTAATATCCAAAATATCCTTTTAGATGACCTGAAACCCAATATCCATTCAATTAATTCATTATACTCTGAAATACTTATATTACATAAAGGAAATTTGAATGATACAAAAATAATTGAAAACAATAAAATATGATTATAATTATGCTGGGCGGTTCTGATTATCCGGATCGAAAAAGTTTATACACTGTGTCAGAAAAAGATAGACGCACCCATATTTTTGCTATTATCTCGCTTTATCTATCAGATATTTTTGTATAAATTTTCCCTGATATATCTTTTTAAATGCCAAAATGAATATAACCAAGAAAAATTTGCTAACTATTTTTAAAAAATTTTTATGTTCAATTTTTTGAAAAACCCGTGTCAGAAAATGATAGACGCACTTTGGAATTTCGAGTTTCTAACAATAAGAAAAATCTATAAAAATTTGAGCTAGCTTATTTGTCGATTCTAAGAAAAAATAAAAAAGAATTAGACCCATGTCTCACTTCAGTGTCGAGATCCAGATACCCCAAAAATCAACGTAAATAGGGGGTAGGGCTCTTCAAAAAATATTTTCGACCCCTTATGGTTTGTTTTAAATTTCCATTTTGGGCTCATTCGAAAGCCATTAAAATTTGCTATAAGATATCATAAGTTTTATTTTATAGAAAAAATATTTCAGACGGTTATTAAGTCTTAAATTTATAAGGCAGAGAAAATCACCTAAATGCCCCATAAAATTAGCGTCGGGAAATTAACGACCTACATCTATTTTCCAAATTTTTTCTCAAATACAAGATCCCATTTATCTTATAGCAAATTTTATTGGCTTTCGAATGAGCCCAAAATGGAAATTTAAAACAAAACATAAGGGGTCGAAAATATTTTTTAAATAGCCTTACCCCCTATTTACGTTGATTTTTGAGGTATCTGGATCTCGACACTGAAGTGAGATATGGGTCTAATTCTTTTTTATTTCCTATTATTATCGATAAATATGTTTGTTGAAATTTTTGTAAATTTTTTCTAATATCAGAAACATAAATTTTAATCAAACATTAAAGTGCGTCTATCATTTTCTGACACCCGTCCATCCTAGCATTTGAAACGATAAATTAAAAAAAAATTTCTAGAAAATATCTTAAATATAGCATGAGATATGATACGAAATACAGGTGCGTCTATCATTTTCTGACACAGTGTATATGTATAATTTTGGTTCGCATCTCGGTTCTGGATAATGCGAAGGAAAAAGGACAATATCGATGATTTTTCTTATGCCCCAATCTTAGCCTTAATACAAAGGTTAATCAATCATATATAATATAAATTAACTTAAATATAAATGTATAAATATATTTAAATATGAATTCATCAAAAACGGACGTTAGATTCTCACTTTGAACTCTTAATACATACTGCCAAAAACATTTTTACCAAAATTTAAAAAATAATTTTGTTGAGGAGTATTTTGATCTGGTGCTATAAATAAATATTATTAACACGATCGTGGCAGATTTTGTTTAAACTATTTTCGCTTACACGATTTTCTCTACATTTATTCATTAAAATTTAATTTGTTTTTATCATTTTATTTAAACTATAATTATTAGGGGCCGGATTTTCAGGTTGTAAACCCTTAAAATAGGTACCTAAATACGTTGTAAAAAATGTAAAACAGGTGAAAAAACTCGAAAATACGTTAAAGCTGGAAAATTGGTGCAAAAAGGTCGACAGATGAGGTAAAAAGCAAAGATGATGGATATATTCCATTTTCCGTTCAAAAATTTTATTGGCATAATAAAAATTAGAGTCGAACTTTTCACATTGCCGGGCCCGGTACCGGTTTTTTTTCTTCCAAAAAACCGGGGTCTTCTTCCGGTTTGTTTCTTTTGTTGTTGAATATTTCGAGTAATGTAAACCGTGAATGAAGCCCACCCAATATTTAGTATATCGGAATTTACTGTAAATTACTCTTACTTCCTCCAGTATTCTTTTAATCTATATAGTAATCTGCTTTTCCATTTTCCCCGACCTTATAAAATTTTCCATCGAATAAAAACCATTTTTGCCAGTTTTCATTAAATAAAATATTTTTCGACAAATGCTTAACTTCTCTTTGATTCAAATATTCTGTTACATTTGTATTAAACGTATTTTTATTTTCAGTTATTTTTTCATCATCAAATAATGGCAATAACTCAAGAACACATACCACATCTTCAAAAGCATATTCACCACCAAATAATTCAAAATCATTAAATAATTTATTTCCTTGTTTTATCATTTCTCCATCTTTTAAATTTTTATGAGACTTAACAATCGCAATCTCTACACCTGTCTTTAACTTGCCCAAGGTATTCCTCACTTCATCTGACTCAATTTTAATTTTAGTTGAAACACATTTCTTGAGTTTATCATCAACTTTTACAAAAATTTGTATGGCTTCTACAATAAAAGGCATTCTAATGTTTTCCTCGTTACTAGGTAAATGAATTGCTATTATATAGTTGCCTTTTTCTTCGTATTTTGCACATATTTCAATATAATTATTCACTCCTTCCAAATTTAATAATTATTTAAATTTGGTAAGGATTGCATTGTAAATTTGGTAGAAATTAACATTGACTTCGTTGAACACTGGTTGAAAATTTAGTTTGGCATGGAAAAGTGGCTTTATCATGATCAATTCCTAAATAAAACAAGCTTTAATTAAATAGAGCTCGCCGAAGAAACTTTTCCATGTTTTAAAGGGGCAACCAATAGAAAAAAATATTCCCCATTTTCAATATTAAGACATTCTTGCATTTTTATTTTGAAACAAGGAACATTTCTTAATTAACATTTTATTGCTATATTCTTTTGCTTTAGCAACATGTTTGTGTTGTGTCTTGCTGGTACAACAATGTCTAATAAAACTCGGTCTCGCATTTTTCGAAAACGAATCGTATGGGCCATTCCTACGTTCCATCTGATGCTTAAAAATTTTATTTGGATTCGTAGCTAATAAGGATCTTCAACTAATTTGTAAGCAAAATTTTTTAGGCGCTTTTTAATTCCATAAATCTTGGAATGATTCGTGTAAGTTTGTAGCATTGGTGGAAGACTTATACAAAAGTTAAATAGCGCCTATTATATTGATAACTATACATACACATTATTTTTAATAGTTTTTATATGTATATTATATATAAAATAAAATTTATTTACCTTAATGTCTCCATTTAATTTTAAACAACAACAAAATCCCTTTCTGTAAATATTTTCAAATTTTTCTAAAAAATAAATTTCTTTTGTCTCATTTCTTATATTTTCAACTTTATATATTTTATCTTTGAATGGTACATTCAAAACCTCACAAGAATATTGTAAATTTCTTATAAACAATTCGTGTTTTTTGTTTATAGCCCCAAATTCGATAATTATTTCCAAAGTTTTTTCTGATGTATTTTCATTTGTTTTGTTTATTTCAATTTTCTTCACATTAATATCTCCAACGAGATTTTCATCATTTTTTGTAAAAATAAAACGTTGATGTGTTTGAATATTTGAAAATGAATAAGAAAACAACAAAAAAATTAAAATGACAAAAAGTTTAATTTTAGTAGAAATCATTTTTCTGAAATTATACAGTAGGCGGGAGATTTTTCTAAATTTGGGAAGCTTTTTAAAAAATTTTACAAGGATTTTAAATAAAAGACACAATTTAAAACTATTTTATGAATGAGTGAAGGCAAACAGGCGATAAATAAATTTATATTCGATTATTAAAAATCAATTTTTAAGACTAATATATAAAATAAAAAATTAATTAAAAATTGATTGGACAGAATTGAGAAATTGTACTTTAAAAATATTTATTAGTTTCAAAAAAAAACAGGTAACACAACTTTAATATAAAGTCTTGTTAAACTTTTAATTAAAACCAGTTTATCAAGTCACTGATATACTTAACCTCTTGCTCCCTTGATATCACACTCAAATATTGATTTTTGAGGATTTGTAGAAATATAGGAAAAACAAGAATGATGGCTACCTTGAAGTCTCGAAAGATACCGAGATTAGAAAATATATAAAAGAATAAAGGGATACGTAATGATACGATGCGCTACTAACAATTTAAGATAAAAATATCCATAAGTCTGAAAAAGAAATTCTTAAATTTAAAATTTTTTTGATAATAGATAGCTTTTAACATTTAGTTCTGATACACAAAAAGCTAGAAAGCCAAATTCCAATTTCCACTTGAAAAATGCAAAAAATAGAGGGTGCGTATAATTAGTTAACAGAGTGTACAACTGTGTTCTTCGGTGGCAGGGGTAGCGCTCTTGAATTTACTTTTTTCCCAAAGTTCGAATCCTGACTGGAAATTAATTTATTTTAAACTTTTGTTTCTTAAAATTTTTTTTAATTTTTAAAAAATTTTCTAAATTTTTTGAAAATTTTTTAAAAACTTTTCAAATGATCGAATACAAGGCGTTTTCTGGAACACCCTGGGAATGAATAATGTAAAGAAATAAATATTTAAGAAAATTTAAAAAAGTTTTCAATTTTGGCTAAAAACATTCGGAAAAAAATTCAGAATTAATAAAAGATTAAAATTATGTTAAAACAAATTAATTTCCCCAATAAAGATTTGAACCTGGGAAAAAAATTAAATACAAGAACGCTACCACTGCAACACCACCGAACACATTTGTGACTAGATGAAATTGTTTATGTGTGAGGGACACTAAAACTTTTGGGGTCAATAACTCGGTCCCCGGTACCATTTTGCAAATATGGTTCTAGTTTCTCAATAAAAAGGGTATACTTTTCAAATGATCGAACTCTACCAAATCTCATCGAAGTCCCACGGACACCCAAAACGCTCTCCTTTGTGAGGGCCAATTTCTTTTGAGTGAAATGCGCTCTAGAAGAAGCTAAAAGCATCTATTAAATAGTATCATCTTTTAACGTTTAATAAAATAATAATTTAATTTTAATAATATTTTTGTTATTTTATCAATTAAAAAAGTGATACAATTTGCAATAACCTCATTATTCTAACTAAAATTTTAGCTCCGAACCCAGCCACGACATCCAATGACTTTTGGTAATACTAAAACAATACGAATTCTCATTTAATTTACTATTGAGCTGACATAACTTATTAAATTATTTTATTTTGAACCAAGTGATAACATAAAAATTTTAATATAGCGTTAAATTCTGGGAAAAACTAAAATTTTTAAATTATGGTTGTTATGAATTGTGGGATAAAATTCCGAAATATTTTTTTAATTTTGATTATTTTCCTCTTTAGACCAAATGTAGCACAAAACACCATCCCATGTTGGAATAGTAAGTGGAGGTTGTAATGTTGTGTTTACTGTTATAATTGTATCTAAATTATAAAAAAATAACTTTTTAACATTATCATACAATAATTTTTGTAATAGAAACTCTAGGACCTATTTCTAAACCATGCTCCAAAGAAATGCTTAATTATAGAGGAGGCTATAATGCAGAGTGATGGTTGTAATTCATATGTTACTTTATTTTTAGACATCCTTCATAGGAGTCTATAACTTAGAAAAGGAGGGGCTTTAATACAGAAAATACTTCATAATTGTTTACCCATGTCAACCAAATGCCAATAACGTCTAATTGCTAAATTCGCCCCACATTGGCCTTCCTTCTTTGAACAATAAAATATTTCCCCAGTTGGAGAATAAAAAGTATCGGCACTTTCTTTTCCCATTAAAACAATTTTGTGGTCATTCATTGCTTTTTTTTAAATTAAAAATTTAAAACTAAAATTTCGAAAAAATTTACGAAATATTCCAAGTGCTTCACTTCTATTTGTTAACATTTGTCCTAATTTAATTAGACATTTTTCTGGGCATTTTGAACGAACAGGTTCTGTCAAAACGTATCCTAATTGGCTCTTAAAATTTAAAATTTTAATTCAACTATTTTTATATGTATAAACTTTATTTACATTATTTTTATATTCTGAACTAACAGAATTGTTTGTTGTATATAAATGATCGTGTAGTGTTCCTTAATTTCAAAGAAATAATTTATTAAAATAGCTGTTTATTTAAAAGTAAATTTTGTAAAATATTCCGCATTTCCTCAAATTTAATGTCATCTAATATACGAGCATTCAATCACTCCTCTAGGAGCATGATAGAAGAATAAAATCCCACCTCATGTTTAATCACACTCAAATGATTAAAAATCCCTTCGTAATTGAGTGAAAAATTGATGTCCGGTCATTCAATTAGAGGAAGTAAGGTAGATATTTTTTGTAATTTTTAATCGAAAACTATTTCTCGGGTTTAAAATACAATTACTTAAATAAAAATTAAGAAATCATCCGCAATTTAAAATACAGGCAGGGCTAAACTTATTTGGACTGATCTAAAAAGTTATAAAAAGATATGGATCAAATAATCAGATATGGATAGAAGCTAAATTATCACTCTAATATAAAACCCAAAACTCGAGAATATTAAAAAAAAAGATTCACAAGTTTCTTTATAAACTTTATGTAAATACCTAATTTCCCATTATCATATTCTGTTAATTTTGTGAATTTACTATTTTCTTCAATTAAAGTATTTAAGGAGGAAATATTTAAACATTCATCTATTTCCTTCAAATTTATCATTTCATCATCTTCTTTTTTATTTTCATCCATTTCCATAATTATTTTTACTCCTTTATTTTCGTTAATTTTTAAATTATTATTAATTTCTTCATTTTCTTCAATTTTATTTTTCTTTGTTTTTTTCTCCTTCTTTTCTTCGTATATTTTATTTTTATTTAAATTGGAAGCCTCTCGGTTTTTCAATTTAATTAAAGATTCTGGAGAAGGCCTTTCTAAACTCCAACCAAAACACATAGGCATTTGCTCTCGAGTAAAATTACCCGGAATTTCTATATCAGGAGATGTTGAATAGGCATAATCTAATATTTAAATATGAAAGGAAAAGATATCCAACTTCAAGTATTTAAAAATTGACTAGGCTGGGGTTTATGATTTAGTAAAGAAATAAATAGTCCGCCCGATAGCTAAGTCGGTAAAGCAAATGGATATTATTAAGGCTCATTCTAGTTTAATTTTCCGATGAAAATATGTAGAAGTTCTTTATATTGTAATTTAAATTAAAATTCTCACAAACACGAGGTCCAACCATCTTAAAATGTCGATATATTGGAACATTGGCACCTTAATAAATTAGAGTATTTTCCAACAACTTAGTCGAAATTAGATACCACAATCGTCACTCACAATTGCACAATAAAGCCTTGGATTTGCTTCAACAGTCAAAAACCCTGGAGGAATTACTTTACCCATTATTGTGTCTGTATGGTAGAAAAGAGTTCCTTTAATTATTAAAAATTGCACAAAAACTTTCTTATCAAATTAAATTAATAACCGGGAACTCTAGGTTCAGCCAAAGCCAATTCATGCAAACATCCTCTTTTTGGACATTCCGAACTCAAAGCACGAGTAAACAAACGAAAAGGTTTCTCTCCAATAGGAGAGTAAAATCCGTCTTTTCCTTCACTCCCAATATTTTCATCAAAGTCAAGATTGATAGATGCAGCTCTTTTTAAACGATAAATAGGTTGACCTAATTGAATTGGGTCGTCAAGGGTTTGGACTTCTACACGCAATTTTTCTGTTTAAAAGTAACAGAATTATTTTAAATAATTTATTTAAATTAAGTCGTGAAAAAATCAATATATGATATATTGTTTATCGCGTTATCAACAAACTAAACTACCGTAAATGCTCAAATGTGAAACCCGATTCTTCGGGGTCGGTAGTGTCGTGGGTGGGGTTTAGCGGGCTGAGCCCAGGGTTTAAATCTGCCTGGGTTTGAGCCACAAAGAATCGGCTAAGTTCACAGATAACATTTCCTTCTCTTCAACATTCTTTATTTTTACAAAATTCCAATTATAACCAAAATGACCGAAGAAAAGTGAATGTTGGCTTACCATTTATGGCTTCCCATTTAAAAATGACTTCAAAACTGACTGGACCGGTTTATGCCTAAAAATTAGGACGAAAGACTGAATTATATTAACCCAATGCGAAATATTTGTGAACATAAAAATTTAAATACCAAAATCATTATCAGACGAAGGATATGCAGTGTATGGACAGAAAAGAGAAGAAAAGCTTGGAGAAATTATTGAAATAAAATTAAAAATAATTAAATTAAAATAATTTAAAAATAAATTAATATTTAAAATATATTTCATTTAAATTTAGTGTAATTCATAAAAAATCTTTTATGATATTTGTTAAATCAAAAATAAATGAAAGATAAATTGTTTTTTGTATTAAATGTTGAAAGAAGCTATAAAATAATTCAACGCCATAATAAACAAACAAAAGATATATTTATATGGAATGAATGACCTTGTAACAAATAAATAAAATAAAAATAGCTTTAGAATTTAAAAGAAATCTTTGTTGTTGACTTAAAAATTAAGTTTAACTTTAAAAAAAGCTAAGCATCCTCATTATCAGTGTTTGCTATGATCCTCATCAAAACAAATGATAAGGGAGTAGGGTGTAATAATCCATACAAAACAAAGGCAGAGTGACGAAAGCCCTATGAGAAATCCACAAAAGCTGCAAGAACCGAAGACGATAAATGAAACCAACAAATGATGGCGGAGCCAAGAAAGCGTGAGACCTTCCTTTCCATGGAAAAGCAAAGTCTTCGGGCCGAATTCCCGGAAAATTTTTCTCTTGTTTCTTATTTTAATTCTGTTATAGTGTGTAACAAAACTTTAAGTCTCAAAACCCAAAAATCAACGGAAAATGTGGTTATTGTAATTAAAAAATATTTTAAGCCCATTAGGGATATTATATCCCGGTTCTTCTATATTAAATAATATCAAATAAATTCTTAATTCTCAAATAAATCTAATTCACTCAGACAATAATTATACACAATTTAATTAATAAGTTTATTTAAGTTTGGGTTTAGTTTTGGGTAGCAAGTTTGATCAAGACGAGCTTGAAAATGGGTAAGAACAAATGAGTATTTATAGGACAAGTAAATGGGCGGAAGTAAAGGTATGTTTAGATAAGAAATGTTTTAGGGGAATGTTTTGAATAGAAAATGTTTAGATAAAAGGGAAGCGAATGTTGATGAGGAATAGTTTGAATTTAATAAGGAAACATTAAAAGGGTTTACAATCAGGAAAAGAATATTTTAGAATAAATTGATAAGAAATATTTAAAACATGTTTTTAGGGGAATAGGAAAAAGAACATTATTTAAAACAAAGAAAAATATCAAAATAGGGATCCAACAAGGGATTGTGTAAAAAAATTTTCAGGTCTACCTTAAAGCCCACAAAATTTGTTAAGAAAAACATTTGGTCCCATCGTTGAGAAAAATCAGTTCATTGAGATCTCATCGGTTAAAGGAGCAGATAAACAAATCCACACAAATACCCCATAAATTTGATTCTTTCTAACTTTTAAATTTAACCGATGAGATTTCAGTGGTAGGATTTCTCAAAGATGGGACAAAGTGTTTTTTGTAGCAGTCCCTAAGGGGGATAAAATTTTTTAAAAATTTTTCTTCTACATTTTTATTAATTTAATATTTTTTGTTATATCTCTTCTTTTATAGGTAAGTGTTCATTTATAAATTTTATTTTTCTTCTAAATTTTTATTAGTATAATATTTTTTGTTATATCTCTTCTTTTATAGGTAAGTGTTCATTTATAAATTTTATTTTTCTTCTAAATTTTTATTAGTATAATATTTTTTGTTATATCTCTTCTTTTATAGGTAAGTGTTCATTTATAAATTTTATTTTTCTTCTACATTTTTATTAATTTAATATTTTTTGTTATATCTCTTCTTTTATAAGTAAGTGTTCATTTATAAATTTATTTTTCTTCTACATTTTTATTAATTTAATATTTTTTGTTATATCTCTTCTTTTATAGGTAAGTGTTCATTTATAAATTTTATTTTTCTTCTAAATTTTTATTAGTATAATATTTTTTGTTATATCTCTTTTATAGGTAAGTGTTCATTTATAAATTTTATTTTTCTTCTACATTTTTATTAATTTAATATTTTTTGTTATATCTCTTCTTTTATAGGTAAGTGTTCATTTATAAATTTTATTTTTCTTCTACATTTTTATTAATTTAATATTTTTTGTTATATCTCTTCTTTTATAAGTAAGTGTTCATTTATAAATTTTATTTTTCTTCTACATTTTTATTAATTTAATATTTTTTGTTATATCTCTTCTTTTATAGGTAAGTGTTCATTTATAAATTTTATTTTTCTTCTACATTTTTATTAATTTAATATTTTTTGTTATATCTCTTCTTTTATAGGTAAGTGTTCATTTATAAATTTTATTTTTCTTCTACATTTTTATTAATTTAATATTTTTTGTTATATCTCTTCTTTTATAGGTAAGTGTTCATTTATAAATTTTATTTTTCTTCTAAATTTTTATTAGTATAATATTTTTTGTTATATCTCTTCTTTTATAGGTAAGTGTTCATTTATAAATTTTATTTATTCTACAATTCGGAAAAAAATCTTTTCGAATATTTTTTAAATTTAGGTTACGAGCTAATAATATTTCTACAATTCGGAAAAAAATCTTTTCGAATATTTTTTAAATTTAGGTTACGAGCTAATAATATTTCTACAATTCGGAAAAAAATCTTTTCGAATATTTTTTAAATTTAGGTTACGAGCTAATAATATTTCTACAATTCGGAAAAAAATCTTTTCGAATATTTTTTAAATTTAGGTTACGAGCTAATAATATTTCTACAATACGGAAAAAAATCTTTTCGAATATTTTTTAAATTTAGGTTACGAGCTAATAATATTTCTACAATTCGAAAAAAAATCTTTTCGTATATTTTTAAATTTAGGTTACGGGCTATCTTAAGACATGATTATTGGATAAGAAAGTTAAAATTTATATATACTAGTAGTTTAATATTTCCGAATAACTTTTAAATTTAATATTTGCGGTAATAAATTTTATTTTAAGACATGTGAATATTTCATAAGAAAGTGAAAATTTATTATATACTAGTAGTTTAATATTTCCGAATAACTTTTAAATTTAATATTTGCGGTAATAAATTTTATTTTAAGACATATGGATATTTCATAAGAAAGTGAAAATTTATTATATACTAATAGTTTAATATTTCCGAATAAATTTTAAATTTATTATATACTAGTAGTTTAATATTTCCGAATAAATTTTAAATTTAATATTTGCGGTAATAAAATTTATTTTAAGACACATGAATATTTCATAAGAAAGTGAAAATTTATTATATACTAGTAGTTTAATATTTCCGAATAACTAATAATATTTCTACAATACGGAAAAAAATCTTTTCGAATATTTTTTAAATTTAGGTTACGAGCTAATAATATTTCTACAATTCGGAAAAAAATCTTTTCGAATATTTTTTAAATTTAGGTTACGAGCTAATAATATTTCTACAATTCGGAAAAAAATCTTTTCGAATATTTTTTAAATTTAGGTTACGAGCTAATAATATTTCTACAATTCGGAAAAAAATCTTTTCGAATATTTTTTAAATTTAGGTTACGAGCTAATAATATTTCTACAATTCGGAAAAAAATCTTTTCGAATATTTTTTAAATTTAGGTTACGAGCTAATAATATTTCTACAATACGGAAAAAAATCTTTTCGAATATTTTTTAAATTTAGGTTACGAGCTAATAATATTTCTACAATTCGAAAAAAAATCTTTTCGTATATTTTTAAATTTAGGTTACGGGCTATCTTAAGACATGATTATTGGATAAGAAAGTTAAAATTTATATATACTAGTAGTTTAATATTTCCGAATAACTTTTAAATTTAATATTTGCGGTAATAAATTTTATTTTAAGACATGTGAATATTTCATAAGAAAGTGAAAATTTATTATATACTAGTAGTTTAATATTTCCGAATAACTTTTAAATTTAATATTTGCGGTAATAAATTTTATTTTAAGACATATGGATATTTCATAAGAAAGTGAAAATTTATTATATACTAATAGTTTAATATTTCCGAATAAATTTTAAATTTATTATATACTAGTAGTTTAATATTTCCGAATAAATTTTAAATTTAATATTTGCGGTAATAAAATTTATTTTAAGACACATGAATATTTCATAAGAAAGTGAAAATTTATTATATACTAGTAGTTTAATATTTCCGAATAACTAATAATATTTCTACAATACGGAAAAAAATCTTTTCGAATATTTTTTAAATTTAGGTTACGAGCTAATAATATTTCTACAATTCGGAAAAAAATCTTTTCGAATATTTTTTAAATTTAGGTTACGAGATAATAATATTTCTACAATTCGGAAAAAAATCTTTTCGAATATTTTTTAAATTTAGGTTACGAGCTAATAATATTTCTACAATACGGAAAAAATCTTTTCGAATATTTTTTAAATTTAGGTTACGAGCTAATAATATTTCTACAATACGGAAAAAAATCTTTTCGAATATTTTTTAAATTTAGGTTACGAGCTAATAATATTTCTACAATACGGAAAAAAATCTTTTCGAATATTTTTTAAATTTAGGTTACGAGCTAATAATATTTCTACAATTCGGAAAAAAATCTTGTTGGATCCAGATTTTGAGATTATTTGTTATTAATTTTTAAAATGTTCTTTTTATTTAATTTAATGTTTTCCCCTTTTTATTTAAACTATTCCCCCAAAACATATTTCAAATGTTTCTTTTCCTTTTATCATTTACAACATTTCCCCAAAACATTATTTGAATTATTTCTCTTTAATGTTTCTTATCAACCTTTTCCTTAACCTACATTTGTCTATGTATCAAACTTGTAAATAATTAACCTTTCTTTACTTCCCGCCCTTTGTCACTTATATATAAATAGCTTTTTCTATTTCTAATTTTTGTCTTAGTTTGAACTAGAGAGTTGTGTGTCTTAGTTTGAACTAGAGAGTTCAAATTAAATGTATATAAGGCCGGGGACATTATACTGGTGCCACGACCCGTCGCGAAAGCGATGGAGACATTATGCCCGAATAGTTTTTAGAACAAATCGGAGCTTTAAAGAAGATAAATTTCAGTAGAGATAATTTCTTTGTGAAATATATTTTGGCTGTGTGCCTTTAAAAAGTTTTTAGGAATTTCTATTTGAAATCCTGTTTTATCTTCTGTAAGGCTGTGTCATTCTAAAAAATGGCTGGGTGTATAAATTAGTTTTTGAAAAGGAGGCTTGAAAATATTCGTGGAACTTATACCATGTCCTCATTTGATAGCCCCTGAAATTTTTTTTCAGAGGAGAAGGAAGAGATATATAGAGATAATTAAAAGAAAAAAATTTGGATTTATTATAAGCTCAATTGAAATTAAAAGAGAATTAGATAAAAAATATATTTATTTACCTTAAAAGAAATTCCTTAATCGAGGTGGATAAGATTGTCCTCAAAAATTTGAGAGAAATTAAATGAACAAATTTTTTGTAGATGCTTTAGTTAAGTGAGAGTAAAATATAATAGAAAAATCAAGCCCCAAAGATGGGAGTATTAGCTAATCTGTGGTGATGGATGAATAATGGAATTTAAGGATATACTCTTTAATGACTGAGACAACCGAAATGCAAAAACTGGCCGGTTTACGTTTTTGTCTGGCGAGTCAAGCGAGAGTCGCCTTTGACATTATTAATCCCGCGCCTACGACAATAGCGGAGGCTATAGCTTTATGAAAATGGGAATTACTTCAACATGTTGGTGATGATCATTCTTCAGGAGAAGAATCTTTGATGGAGGAAGGAGTGTTAGATCCAGATTTTGAGATTATTTGTTATTAATTTTTAAAATGTTCTTTTTATTTAATTTAATGTTTTCCCCTTTTTATTTAAACTATTCCCCCAAAACATATTTCAAATGTTTCTTTTCCTTTTATCATTTACAACATTTCCCCAAAACATTATTTGAATTTATTTCTCTTTAATGTTTCTTATCAACCTTTTCCTTAACCTACATTTGTCTATGTATCAAACTTGTAAATAATTAACCTTTCTTTACTTCCCGCCCTTTGTCACTTATATATAAATAGCTTTTTCTATTTCTAATTTTTGTCTTAGTTTGAACTAGTCTTTTGTAAATAAAAGATTTAATTTATTAGTTGGTTTATTTAATTCCTTATTTAGTTGAGAGAGTTCAAATTAAATATATATAAGGCCGGGGACATTACGATGTTCATGCTGTGGAAAAATTGTGGATGGGAGATGGAATAGAACCATCACGGAAAGAGCCCAAACCGAAAGCACAACCGACTGTGCCACCATTCAACCTGATGCTGGGTTATTTATTTTCATTTATGTTCTTTCTGCAAGTGCGGACACAACACTCCTTCCGCCTTGCGATCCAAGCGTCCTCGCTTGTTGCTTGTCTTCTATAACTATCATCTGTTTCGATTTTTTGGAGAGCACACACAGAAACCCATTTTGTGGCATATGCTGTGCTTCATGCGCCTTACGCATTTTTATATTATATTAGCCTCGCAACACCGGCTAGCCTATCACAACTCAGGCATTTTTTTCTTAATTTCTCACAGGGTCTTCTCCTTTTTTATCTCCACAGTGACAGAATGTCAGATCATCACAGCATTTGAAGGTTCGCTGAAATTTCCTCAGGCTAAGCCTGGCCTGTCCGACCGCGCCATTTGTCATGTCCGATGTTCATGCTGTGGAAAAAGTGTGGATGGGAGATGGAATAGAACCATCACGGAAAGAGCCCAAACCGAAAGCACAACCGACTGTGCCACCATCCAACCTGATGCTGGGTTATTTATTTTCATTTATGTTCTTTCTGCAAGTGCGGACACAACAAATCTTTTCGAATATTTTTTAAATTTAGGTTACGAGCTAATAATATTTCTACAATTCGGAAAAAAATCTTTTCGAATATTTTTTAAATTTAGTTTACGAGCTAATAATATTTCTACAATTCGGAAAAAAATCTTTTCGAATATTTTTTAAATTTAGGTTACGAGCTAATAATATTTCTACAATTCGGAAAAAAATCTTTTCGAATATTTTTTAAATTTAGGTTACGAGCTAATAATATTTCTACAATTCGGAAAAAAATCTTTTCGAATATTTTTTAAATTTAGGTTACGAGCTAATAATATTTCTACAATTCGGAAAAAAATCTTTTCGAATATTTTTTAAATTTAGGTTACGAGCTAATAATATTTCTACAATTCGGAAAAAAATCTTTTCGAATATTTTTTAAATTTAGGTTACGAGCTAATAATATTTCTACAATTCGGAAAAAATCTTTTCGAATATTTTTTAAATTTAGGTTACGAGCTAATAATATTTCTACAATTCGAAAAAAAATCTTCGAATATTTTTCAAATTTAGGTTACGAGATAATAATATTTCTACAATTCGGAAAAAAATCTTTTCGAATATTTTTTAAATTTAGTTTACGAGATAATAATATTTCTACAATTCGGAAAAAAATCTTTTCGAATATTTTTTAAATTTAGGTTACGAGCTAATAATATTTCTACAATTCGGAAAAAAATCTTTTCGAATATTTTTTAAATTTAGGTTACGAGCTAATAATATTTCTACAATTCGGAAAAAATCTTTTCGAATATTTTTTAAATTTAGGTTACGAGCTAATAATATTTCTACAATTCGAAAAAAAATCTTCGAATATTTTTCAAATTTAGGTTACGAGATAATAATATTTCTACAATTCGGAAAAAAATCTTTTCGAATATTTTTTAAATTTAGGTTAAGTACGTGTAATGCCGAGTACTAAGACCCCGAGTATCGAGTACGAGTAAAGTTGTATAAAAGCCGAGAGATCGAGTCGGGTATACTCGTACTCGACCCGACTCGGACGTACTCTAGAATATAGTTATGAAACCACATTTTGTTAAATGGATGAAAGAAAAATGTAAAAATTATTATGGTATTTTTTTTATTTCTAAAATTGTGGATAAGTCCGATTTACCCGATTTTATGTCTTAATAATGGCCACCGTAGTTGCCGGATTTGAGTCCAATTAACCAATATTTTGGTTTATTTTTTGGGCAAGGTTTTGCTCTTAATAACGCAAAAGTGTGGAGTCGCTTATAAGAGAAAATCATGCTTGATGTGCCAACTATCGTCCAAAATTCTTCCATCGCCTTAAATCCCTATTTAACTCTATTTAATACAAACTTTACAAAAATATAAATTTGAGGTTTTTCATAAAAATTATTATCAAAAAATTTTCAAATATTTTTCCCATTTTTCTCCTCATCTTTATTTAGCCATTCAGGTGCTTCCATTTCCAAAATTTTTAAAGCATCATTAATGCTACTTTTTGCTCTAATTTTAATACATTCCATTTTTTCTTTGAATTCTGGATCATTTTCTGGTGTTCCTCTTTCAAAAAACGGAATTTCCATAACCCTGCCAATAGCTTGTGAAATAATTGCCAAATTGTAAACATGTTGAAGCTTTAAAAAAATTTAGAAATATAGTGGCATTAAATTTGGCGGATTCTGGGAAATATTCCGATATCGGAATAAGGATCCGGTATTAGAATCCGAATTTCAACAAGTCCGAATTAGGATCCAACCTGAAAATTTTTGAATTCATGATTCGTAACCGAAATTTTTATTAAACTAAGGAAGATTGTCTGGTGTCGGAGAGTCTTTCGAATAATTTTCAGGAAGGCTAACAAATTGTGGTGGAAGGAATTTTGGAAGGCCAAAATAAATTTCTTTAAAAATAATGGTCATCATTAGGGATGTAAATAGGCGGAAGAGGGCAAACTAGACGTAAGAGGGGGGACGGCGAGAAAACATTATTTAGAGATTTCAGATAGATTCATAGGCAGTATTCTGATCTATATTAATTTTAAAATTAAATTTTTAAAATATTTTTTAAATATTTAAAATTACATACTTCCTCAATTCCATACTTTACTTTTTCCATTCCTTGTTCAACTAATTTTTTATTTAATTCATTCAAATATAGTTCTAAAACTGTCCCTTGCTTTTCAATATTTTTACGTAGATCGGGTTCTACAGTTGCCAACATTAACCGAGATATATCAGTCATTGGATTGCCTTTGAAAATATTTCTTTGATTGTTAGCTATTTACTGGTTGGCTACCTTATTCTATTTTAGCTTATAGCTAAAATTAATTAATTGATCTTGTCTAACAACTTTTAAAATTTACCTATAGTTGCCAATTGCCAGTCTATAAAAGCTGCAAGTCTGTTTGGATTATTGTTATACCATAATAAATTATTATTCCATAAATCCCCATGTGTAAGGATTTCAGGAACACCTTAAGAATCATTTTTAATATTAAAAAATATTTTTTTATTTTCAAAAATTAATTGTGTATAGAGAAATCCAAGGAATAAGCAATGAAAATATTGAGTCGATGTTTCAGTCAATAGAATGATACTAGCATTAAGCTGATTGTACATATACTCCCTTAATATTTTACATTCTCTCTAAAATACAGAACTGAGTGTGGGTTCATTGTCAATCGGCTTCTTCTAAACAGAGTGATCCAAAAATTTATTGAGAACTTTATTCAAATTAAACTAATGGGATCAAATAAAGCTTAAACGATAGAAATAAATAAAGAATAAATGCTTGATACAGGGTAGGCTTGTACAAAAATTGTGGGCATTGTTCGCTTCTCCTCGAGTGAGATTTTCTCCCATTCCTGATCGACCGAATAACTAAGCAACTCCACACTTTTGTGTTATTTACCGCAGACCCTTGCTTCCAAAATAAACCAAAAATTTAATCCATTGGACTCAAATCCGGTGAGAACGTCGGCCATTCTTGAGACTTTGGCTATTCTTGAGACACATAAACATATCCACAATTTTCAAAATAAATAAAATAAAAGTACCATAATTATTTTCACATTTTTCCTTCATCCATTTAACAAAATCTGGTTTCATAACTAAATTGCCAATTATTTTAAATGGTTCCACAATATCTTCTAAAAATTCTTTAATTTAATTTCGGTTTATAATTTATTTATAACCATCAAGTTCCATAATTTGTTCAATCATTGCTGAACCAAATTCTTCAGCCACACTCTGTCCCCACATTTCTTCTATTGTTACAAATTCTTTCTGCCATTTTTCTTTAATTTTAGGTAAAAACAAAAAAGCATGTAAATGTGCCAAGTATTTGACAGCTTCCATTATCTATATTTTTTAGTAAATGACTGTGTATTAGAGATCAGAGGTCCTGCCATTCCGATTCCCAAAAATCGGGGATTCAAAATGTTTTTAGATACGTAATCCCGCTTCACAGAAATTTTTATAAAAATTTTCAAACATTTCTAATATGAAAATCTAAATTCAATTCAGGTAGTTTTATAATTTCTTAACACCTATTTTTGAGAAAAAGAACTCGATAAACCCCGATCGAGTGAATAAAAATTTTAGATTAATTGAAGAATCGGACATTGAAACCGGATATAATTTATATAGCGTATTTCAACCAACTATTTCGTTAAGATTTAATCCAAATTGGTGCTCTATTCCAAGGCGTGATGGGGTCACTTTAGTACGTGGGTGCAGGCTTTAAATTACAAATGTTATATTATTTGAAAGAGCTAGTCGAGCTGAGTCGAATGCCACCAAAATTAGCTCTAGGAAAAATTTTTGAACCGAGCTACAGGCGATTGAAAATCGAAAAATCATAGGGGGGACCAAGCACTTTTTGGGGTGAAAAATTCGAAAATGCAAATTATACCTCATTCGAAAGAGCTCGTGGAGCTGAGTCGAATGACACCAAAATCAACGAAATCCGATTGAATGGACCGAGATATAGACCCCTAAAAATCGAAGATCCAAAAGGGCGATTTTTGGAATAAAAAATTTTTTAAACAAATAATACCTCATTCGAAAGAGCTCGACGAGCTGAGTCAAATGACACCAAAATCACCGTGATTGAACAAGATTAGACAAAGTTATGATACAAAAAACAAAAAACCTAAACCTATGGAGCGTCGGCGAGGCGCTTGTGCAAAACCCCGCGCTTCGCGCGGGGTTTTGCGGCACGCGCCTCGCGGGGAGTCTACGGGCGCTGGGTCTGGGCTCGTAACATAAACCTATTCCTAAATCCCTTGCTCTGGACGTATTTGGGGCCTCCGTAGCATCAAAAATCTCAACAGATGCCATAGGTAAGGAGCTAAAATAAAAGATCATAACTTTGTCCAATCAAGTCGGATTTCGTTGATTTTGGTGTCATTCGACTCAGCTCGACGGGCTCTTTCGAATGAGTTATAATTTTCATTTTCGAATTTTTCACCCCAAAAAAGTGCTGGTCCCCTCTATGGTTTTTCGATTTTCAATCGCTTGTATCTCGGTTCAAAAATTTTTCCTAGAGCTAATTTTGGTGGCATTCGACTCAGCTTGACTAGCTCTTTCAAATGATATAACATTTATAATTTAAAGCCTGCACCCACGTACTAAAGTACAGCCGGCGTGATTCTAATTCAAAACGTGATCTAGTTCAGGATGGATCTTATAGGAATACGGTAAATTTTAATACTTGTATTTCATTTAATCCTTTAGTTAAAGGTGTAATATGTGTATTTCCAGACAAATCCTTCATTAAAATCACTCCTTGTGGTCCAATCCTATTAATCTTATTGTCTTCTTCATTTTCCTCTTCACTACAATTTTTTGTAAAATAAATTTTTGGTATAGGCAAAGGAGGATTTTTTATATCATTCATCATTTTATAAAATTCACATTCGTTTTTATGCATTCTTGTAAATGATGCCATTGATTCCTAAATGGTAGAAAAATATTTTTTATATAGATTTAAAAATATTGAAAGTTTTTACCGGGTACACCCCAAGGTACCGCGAGCCCATCCTACTGCTGAGGCTATAACATCGTTCAAAATTGTCAACGGAATGTCCTGGCATGGTTCGATTCAACCATACCAGGGTTTCTCGGTTACTAATTTTAGAGGAAGTTATATTTTAGCGATACCATGGCCTGCTTCCTTTTCTACCAGTTTTCAGAGGGTGTACAGCTCCTTGAAGTTCGCGTACTCTTGCTTTGGCACAGAAGTCTTCAAAATTTTGGCTCCGGCTTCTTTTCTATTTCTTTGGAGGATTTAGCTCCGCATGAGCTGACTTTTTATCTAACTCAAGAAGTCATACCCAGCACTGGCAGGGAGCAATAGAACGCTTCGGCGTGGGCTTTAATTACTGGGATAATTAATAGGAAACAATAAACAATTAACTGATTCGAAATATTTTATGTAAATTGCCTCCCCTCCACAGGGATGCTTGGATTGAGAAAAAGTCCAGAAGGATTTTGGGTCGGGTCTATAAAATTTGGTCGGATTGGCCTTCGGGTAACACGTTTTATCTCTTGTCATTAAAAATTAAATTTTTACCTTTAACACAGGATTAATTTTTGTCGACACAACTTTATCATTTATCTCTTCATTATTATTATTTTCTATTGTCAATTTTTCTGTAAATTTTAACATAACTTTTTCCAATCTTTCTTTTCCAAAAAAATGCTGTAAAAGTATTTCAATCCTCTCATCAGCAAAAATTTTTAAAATTAAAGAAAATTTGTTTGAAAAATTTTTTGTTTTGTTGTATATCCCATTTGTATATTTTATATTAATTATTAAACGAAGCAATCTTGAAGTAAAGCCTTTGCCATCATTTATGTCTTTTGCTTCGATCTTTAAAATTTTTGTTAATTTTCTAACTCACTATAAATAATATGTATTATCTTTCTAGCAAATCCCTATTAATTTTTGAAGCATTATTGCCATTCCTTCCTCCCACATATGAGCTTTATTTCAATAGGTTCACTTTATTCCCACAAAATATTTTTTGGGAGTTGGAGCTCTACTCACTCACAGTTATGGTACACAACACAATAACGGACCACAGATTTTAAATGTATAGCCAGGTGCCGTATCCCCCATGGAAAAGGGGAAATAATACATTTTCTTTATTAAACCATGAATTCTTTGGAGCTTTCAAAGTTTAAATAATTTAGATTTTAATTTAAAACACCAATTTAATTTTTAACATCAAGAATTTTTTCTGTTTTCTGCATGCTTTCCTTATTTTTCCAATTACTATACGTTTCATTATGATCGATGTCATGAAAACGTTTCCTAATGATCTTTTAAGTAAAGAAGTTTCCTAATGATCTTTAACGTGATCCTCTAACATTTTAATAATTATTTATAGGTAAGTTGGCGGTAGGTTGGGTTGTACTAGGGAACTTGAAATATAAATTACTGATTGAGGAAATCGGGACGGCAGAATCATGTGGATCCCTGGATTGTAATATCTTTCTATACTCTCAAAAATTGAATTTTCAATTCTAAATTTTATTAAAAATTTAACCAAAATTTTTTTAATTTTTACCTTTTCAACGAATCCCCCATTTTCTAAAATTTTTCTAAATTCAATACTTCCATTAGCTAATTCATTAATAATATATTCAAAAGTAATCCAATTGTATTCTAATATATATTTTAATTTTAATTTTGGATTAATAAATTTATCAAAATTAAAATTATTTTTCTTTTCACAACAATTAGTTGAAGTAATTAAATTTGAATGAAGTGCATTATTTATTTCGATATTATTTGTCATCTTAGTTTTATCTAAACTTTAAGTAGTAAATATTTATATTTAAATTAATTATTAAATTAATAACTACGTAGCTATCAGTTATTTGGAAAGAGCCTTTCTTCGTTATAAATTTTGAAGAAGGGCCTTTTATCAAATCTTGGAGAAGGGCCTTTCCTTATGAATTAAAAAAAGCGAAATGGCATCAAAAGTTATAGCCGATCAACACAGTTTGTTGGTTGGAAAGTTAAGACAATTTGTGGGTATATAGCGGATAATTACCAATTTTTTATTATGGCCAGCCCTGACAGTTACTTTTTACGACCCAAACCTCAACCCAACTTTTTTTTCTTATTACGTCTCATCCCTGATCTCTACTAATTATAAAGCCAAAATATTTTAACATAAAATTAGAAAAGAATTTTTTAATCAAAAAATAAGACTGTGATTCTTAAAGTTTTATTTACAAAAAACTTATAAGAAGAACTGAACGAAATCAATTTTTAATTGTAGTTTGTTAATATTATTTCTAACGTTTAAATTAAGTAAAGAAAAATTATTTTGGTTCAATCACAATATACATTTTTTTTAAATATTAAGGAGGCTTATATTCAACTTTCATGTTAAAAAATAAAATAGTTAAAGTCCTTAGATAAAAATTTTAAATGATTAATATTAATAAAGGAATCAAAATTTTTTAAATAAATAAAGCAAAAAAATAATTTAGAAAATAACGAGACAAAAAAATAATTTAGAAAAATAGATAAGAATTATAATAAATAACTTAATTAAATTGAGTGACACAAATTATGAATAAAACAAAAAATTTAAGTACAGGGTGCGGCAAAAAAAAATTTTTTTTATCAATTTTTGTTGATAATTAAAAAAGTTATAGCCAAAACAAAGTCGGCGCTAAATTTGCCGCACCCTGTATTATGATTAAATAAAAAATGAGGTACCATGCTTAATTGAATAATCACCTAGGATGATTTTTTTACTAAAGTTGTGGTTAAAAAATTTTTTTTCAAAATTGATTTAAAAATCTCGTCGAGGACACGCAAAAATGAGCTTAGCCAATATGGTTCATTGTTCATTTCTAGATTGGATAAACTGTTATTTTGGAGCACGTCGACACTAGTTAAATCTCGGACACCTCGGGTTGTAACAGTTTTTGGTTTTGAATTTTAGTTAAATAGTATTTAACTAAAATTCAAAACAAAAAATATTTAATAATATATTTAATAAATACCTATTCTAGTTTGGGGGAATTTTTAGAAAACAATTTTCAAAAATTTCTATAAAAAAGCTAATTCTCCACTTTTCCCTCTAAATTAGTTTTTCTTCATTATCAAATCTTAACTTTACAAAAAAGTTTTTATTTTATGTACATTATCATCTTTATTTTCTAATATTTTAAATTTAAAATAATTTTTACCATTTTAAACATTTTTTTACTTAAAAATTGATTTTTATTCATTCACCAAGTGGAGTTAGCAAACAACATTTTTCAGTCCCTCAACCATTTTCCTTGTTTCCTCTTTTTCCTACTTTTTTAGTCGCCACAATAAAGCTCTAATAAAATTTTTTCAATCAATTTTCCATTAATTTTTTTGTTAAAAATTTCTAGTCTTTTTATTTTCGTTTTTTTGCAACTTTATATTATTTTCCAAGGTTAATTATAACAATAATAATTATTTCATCCAAACACTTAAAAAGCATATACATATAAGCTATTTATTTCCTAAGGTAAATAGGAGGTGACGTGGTGTACATAATTGATAACATACCAGCCTTTGTATTGAAAATGCTTCTGCCAAGATACTGAACCATAAGATGACTGAGTAAATCTCGGTCCGGGTTCTTATATTTTCCTTTACGTTTTCGAGTTTTTCAAGCAGGAGTTTTATCGGGTCGACTCATACGAGTCTTTTCGAACAGAAAATTCTCGGCTCGAATAGTTCTTGAGTCGATTCGAGCGGCTGGTTATTATCTCATTTTTATAAACCTATTTCAATATTTATTTCTTTTGATAATTGTTTGATTGTTTTTTATCAATAATTTATCAATCAATACAAACTTATTGATAATTTTTTCCTCTTAAAATAAATATTCTTTTAAATAAATATTTATTTTTGAGATGTTGAATGAGAAAATAAAAGAGAAGTTTTTATTCAATTTAAAAATTAATTAATTAATCAACAATTATATTTTTATGTTCTTATTTTATTTAATTAAAAGACCTCAACTTTTAATTAAAAACGTACCAAAATTATTTATTTTATTTGTTTTTTCTTCACTTTTTATTATTTTATTAATTTATTATGAAGAATCAAATGTTGGATATGTTGTTAATTTATATGGAAATTATTATACAAAAACTGTTTACAGAAAAATTGATATTAGACACAAACAAAGTGAGGGAAATATCGTTCGGGAACAGGAGAAATCGAGTTGAGAAAAGTGTCGGGTCGGGTTTCAAATTTTTACGAATCGGCTTTCGGATTTTAGGTCAAAAAATGCTGGACTTCTGGTCGGTTCAGTTAAAAAGTGACCAAAAGCCGTATCACTCGGAGCGGTTTGGTGATTTCAGTGATTTACAGGGAGTAAAGTGACACACGCCTTCTGTTTTCAAGCGAAGGATGGGTACCTGTAAAATTCTTGATTATACTATTCGGTCCTTGTTTTTCTATTAAGCTTTAATTTGAATAAAGTTATGGCATAAATAACGTGTTCGGTTACTTTTTAATCACTCTACATATTTTAAAATTTCAGATAATCTCGAAAAAATTTGGGTAATTGTTATTGTCGATAATGCCAAAATTTTGTCAAATTACAACCTTGCACAAAGCACATTAAGATGTTATTGTCAATTGAATGGATATCCTCTAAAAGTTATTAATGCTTCTGAGATGGGAGAGAAGAATAATAATTGTAAACAAAAAGATGTAAGTAAATAACGGGCGCAAAATTCGTTTTCAGGATTGTGAACAGTTTTAAACCCGACTTTTCTTCTCAGAATTCAAATTTTAAGCCTAACATTACTTCAAAATATTCCTAAAAATTTTCTGCTATTCACAACAATTACCTTATAAGCTCAAATAAGTATCCTGGGTAATTTAAGTTTGAAATTATTTTTTTACCTCTGTCTGGAGTGGTAGAGGATAATTACTCGTGCATATCGCTGCTTAACAGGGATCATGCCGACAAGAAAAACAAAATTTCCGATTCCGGGAAATCGATTCAGCAGGATCTTTGGTGCCTATTTCTTTAAATTTTCAGTTTTACTTCCGTCGCCATTGCATTCTTGCCAATTTTCTTTCTTCTCACTCAACAGATATTAAATTTGCCTTCTTTATGGATGCAGATATTGGTGTCATTAATCCAAATCATTCACTAGAAGAATTTTTGGAAGGAAGAAAAGATTTTGATTTAATTTTTTATGAAAGGATATTTAATGGGGAAATTATGGCTGGAAGTTATATTTTAAAAAATACTCAATTTACTAGAGAATTCCTTTATTATTGGGCTGATTATTATTTTAAAGTGCCAAAAAGTTTTCATGGAACTGATAATGGGGCAATACATGTATGTCTATTAATTTAAATTTTTTTAAAAAATTTATTAAATTAAAAAGATTCTTTACTTAGAGATTAATAAATTTATTTTCAGTAAATTCTGATTAGAGTTCGATATTAGGGACGGGAGAATTCCTTTATTTTGGGCTGGACTGCACTGAGTGAGAATCGGGGGCACAAGGGAGACCTCCCCCGTTCGCCGAGGAATTAGCTTCCCCTGAGACGGAATCTGACCATAATTTAAATAAAATTTGGGATATATTTATAGTCGGAGTTGCATATGGGCACGAATTTTGGTAAATGTTCGATTATGAAAAAGACATGGTACTTTTCCGTTTTGTTACACCCCCATATATTAATGCTCAAAATGTCAAATATAAGGTAATAAAAGGTGCTGAGTCGAACGGTACCTTTCTTTTTCCCAGGAGTTGTCTGTGGACCGAGATATAGGGCTCGAAATGGTCAAAAACTATAGAGGGGAGTAAGTTCATTTTTGGGGTAAAAATTCGAATATACAAATAATACCCCATTTGAAAGAGCTCATGGAGCTGAGTCGAAAGACACCAAGATCAACGAAACCTGATTTGATTTGACCGAGATTCAGGTCCCTGAATATTGAAGAACCACACAATTTTTTGTATCGTAACTCGGTCCAAACTTGTTCGAAGACGGTGATTTTGGTGTCATTCAACTCAGCTCGTCGAGCTCTTTCGAATGAGCTATTATTTGCATATGCGAATTTTTTACCCCAAAATGGCCCAATAGCTTTTGACCATTTCGAGCCCTTTATCTCAGTTCACAGACATCTCCTGGGAAAAAGAAGGGTACCGACCGACTCAGCACCTTTAATTACCCTATATGTGACATTTTGAGCATTAATTTAGGGGGGTGTAACAAAACGGAAAAGTACCAAAGACATCAATATCTATTATATTTTTACCAACGGATCTCTCCGGAATCCTGAATTATCCATATCCATTGCAAACCTGGTTATAGACTTTTTGCAATTATATGAAAAACTGATTAAGAAACTAACACAATCACATACCACTGGTCCTGCTTCCAGAACATAGGAAATTTTATGGATCCCATTACCTTGAAAATAGGAAATTTTGATAAAATTACTTCTTTTTACATTAAAATACTTATAAATTTTCTAAAATAAATGAAAAAATATTTTTAAGTCAGTATTTCTCGATTTATTTTGTGATCATTCAAATAAAAACTGTTCTGAAAAAAGACGGGTTTGTTCACATCTCTGGAATGTTTCTCTCGATTTTGATACTCTATTACCTTTTACTTTGTGTGCCAAATATATACTTGGAGCTAGAAATGTATTTACTAATTCAATTTCTGAAACAAAATTAAATAGTACAGGAAAGGTGCTTCTACTGAATGATTTTAGGCAATATTGGGCAAGAGGTTAGACATTAAGTGATATTACCCTCTCTAAAATACTCTTGATTAATTACTCTTTAGCGGAGGCTGTAACCACAATTATCCAGGGTAATAATGTGAGGATACACGAAATGAATTTAGATGAGGTGTTGAAGGATTTGTGAATATAGGAAGGTGATTGAGCTACGGGTTAAATAAAGGATTATGGGATATTTCTATTATCTAATTTCGCCTTTTTAACATTGAGTTGTTTTAATATTTTTGGTTGTGCCTTAATTATGTCTGGGTTTATCTGAAGTTATATTTTGTCAAAGTAAAGAACGTGGCTCTAAAACTTGCTGAAATATAAATTGTTTAAGCCCCGGAGCTTAGCAACAATTTCCAAAAAGTCGATTCTTGATAAAAAAATTATAAGTCTTGGTAATACCTCCTAAGGTACCTTCCAAGATTAAAGCTTCTTCCAAAAAGGCCTCCTTCAAAAAAACCCCTTCTAAACTCAAATTTATTTCCTACGCCTGAATTATTCTAACTCTCAATAGGCTCGATTAATATTTATGTATTGGAATAATTAATTAATATTATTAGATGGCTGGTTAACTGGAAATTGTTGGTCATCAAGGGATTTTTTAATTCATGGGTGGCAGAGTCGGTAAATTCCTGGATTTATTTTTACTCTTAAAAAATTTTCTTCAAAATTTTTTAAGCCGTTTGAATCGACAAACATTTGCCGGTTGGAACTCTCCATTTTCTTCACAAAAAATTCAAAATCAAAAAGAAAATTGTTCTAACCCAATGATGGCATTTAAAGAATGGCCATATAAAAATACTTTTATTTGGACAAATGAACAAATTGAAAATGAAATTAAAAGGATAATTAAAGATAAGAATATTAAACATATGGGGATTTTAATGAAAGAAGTTATTAACAGAAAGTATTGAAAAATTTTGTTTTTTACATATTCAAGTTGGCGGGTTATTTTATTAAGTATATTTTTAAAATTCACTGAATACTCTAGACAATTTTTGTCCAAAAAATAAATTTATATTTGTTACATTTTGAGTTATTTTGTTGCTTATAGTATGTATGTACATATTATTTCATTTATTTTAATAAGAGGACAGACTTCATATCCTCTCTTATCCCAATTTATAGCCCGATATCCATCCAAATTTATAAGGTTCCGTGACTTTTGCGCCGAGAACATTTGCGCCGCGACTCTTGCGCCGCGACTTTTGCGCCGTGCGACTTTTGCGCCGGGCTACCTTTGCGCCGCGACTTTTGCGCCGAGCGACTTTTGCGCCGCCACTATCATTAAAAATATATCAATAACATCAGCCGGACATCACTATAGTAGATTTGTCGGATAGTTGGAAATCTTCGGATATCCGGATCCTATATCCGAACTGAAAATTTCGGATATCCGGCCTTTTTTCGGATCCGGATTTTTTAAACATTGGCGGCGCAAATGTCGCGGCGCATAAGTCGCCCGGCGCAAAAGTTGCGGCGCAAGAGTCGCTGCGCAAAAGTCGCCCGGCGCAAAAGTCGCGGCGCATAAGTCGCGGCGCAAATGTTCTCGGCGCAAAAGTCGTGATACCATTTATAATTACATTTATTTATAATTACAGTTTTTTAAATTAAAGAGATCTGAAAATTTTTTATTTAAATTGTTTTGATTGCAAATAAAATTCTAAATGATCAAGAGCGTCGAGTTATTCCAAGTATTTTTTCACAAATGCCTACAGATTCACTCCAAAGTTGGTCCTTAATTTAAAATTTTAATGATTAAATTGGCATGTTTTTAATAAAGGAATCTATTTTCATTAGGCAATTAGACGAAAATTTTCTTAATTTCATCATTCACTAATTGTATGTACTTTAACTACATATATAACAGCGATCCTGCCAACAGAAACCCCAATCCGTTATCTTCATGAATTAGTCGATCAGGTATATGGTATGATCAGTATATCAGGTATATTATATCAGGCTATCCAAGACCAAAAACTTCCCAAGATCATGATTAAGAAAGCTTCGTAAAACTTGACCGAAAAAATCGAAATAAAATCTTTAGTCGGCTTTAGACCAAAATTCTTTGGCAGCTCGAAAATTCATTTATATTTATGGATAAATTTTATTGAGTCTCCCTCCCAAACTAAACATGGCATTAAATATCAAAATAAAATTTTGAGGATTCTATTTATTTCTCCAAAATATTATAATGTACTTACAGTACCCTTACATCACAAACAGACGCACCCAGTTTCAATTCCTTACCATTGGCATCGAAATATTTCCCACTAATTCCTTCAAACTCTTTATCCTCAGTTAATCTAACAAGTGTTTCTAAAGCATTTACATGTTTGTATAAATATGGCTCTGAAGTTGCAGGAAATAAAGAACTATAGAATTGGGCACGGTTTGAATATTGTGGCAAACTTGAAATTTTTAGGAAATTTTTACAGAAATTTTTCATTTGAAAATCTTAATTAAGCAGAAATAAGCTGCAGTTTGTCTCTTATAGTTTATATTAGAGCCGGAACAAATGGGATCTCAATAAAAAATCTCGGTATCGAGATCTCGATACTCGTACGGCACTCCCAGTCCAGTCTATTTATATCCATCATATTCATTTCTATAGTTTTCAATCCCTCTCTTTCATATACATTTAAAAGGATTTTTTAATCGCTTTATAGATTCTTGTTATTTGTTCAGTTTATATATTTTACATAATGTTTTAATAATCACTTGGCCTATTCAACGATTAAGTATTCACTCCCTTACACCAATGTCCTCGGTTTGGGTTCCTGGCATTCGAGACAGCTTTTTTGGAAAGGAAAATATTATATTTACATCGTTCGTCCTTCCTTCTCAACTCTCTTCTCTGCATCCACAACATTTGCAGTAACTTGGAATTGTTTTTTATGTTTAAACATTAATCTGTGTATGTATAATGTAGCTAAATGATTCATTAATTTAGTAAGGGAATATTGTGCAAATTTATCATATTTATATCCTTCAGAGTTAATATCATTCCAATTTATTGAACTACTACTAAAATAAATTGAGAAATAGAAAGTCCATAATGTACACAAAATCCAAAAATCATAAGAACTACAATTAGAACGGACTGGGACAAGGCTTTAGGGACCCGTAGCCCAAAAACTGGGTATTTAGATAGAATCCGGGGGTTTTCTGGTGTTCGAGGTTTTAGCCCAGAAAGCCTGGCCATGGTCAGTTTAAAATAAGTACCCCGGATACAAGACCCGGAAATATGGAAGTTCGAACCCTAATAAAAACCTACAAATTATGCAACATAGAACCGACAGTTAAAATCCTTGATGGAGAATTTAGCTCAAGCAAAGGAAGTAATTCAGTGAATAAAACAATGTGAGAAAGGTGGTTAATCTTAAAAAATTATTTATAATTTAAAGTGAGGGAGAGGTAAAACAGCCAAAGAAGGCACTATCCTGCACCTCTGGCATTTATTACTTATTTAATAGATTCTAAACTCAACAAAAATTATTAACAATTCATTACTAAGGTTGGAAAATTTTTGAGAAAAATTTTTGAATTCTATACAATTTTGGATAAATATATGAAGCCTTACTTGTAAAGTAAGTTCAAGCCCATCATGAGATTTTATTCTTCTCTGAACAACAACAGATGCACAAGCAATTAATGTATTTAGACGAGGAAATCTTAACCGGACAACATCAGCCATTTTTAGAACCTTAAATTTATTAAAGAATTTATCAAATTAACAAAGAAAGTTTTTTTATAAGGAGTTTTTCCCGTGGTATGAGGAGCTATACTTCATCTTAGGGGCAAGTCTAATATATTACCTCAGATAGTTTCGAAAAATCAGCAGCTACGAAATCAACATTCCTTTGTTTCCTATTATTCCCAACATTTTCCTGTTCCATTCCCAATTCCTCAACAGTTTTTTGACAATTTTTTTCACTCCTCCCATGGATAATAACAAAATTTTCATAAATATTTGCTGCCAATTCTTGTGCTAATTGGCGTCCAAACCCGTCTGTTGAGCCAGTTATGAGTATCCAACGTTTGAAACTACAAAATTTATTGAATAATATCACCATATATCGAAATATTTAAAGTGAATTCGAAATTTTTTGCTATTCAGAGTCGAGCTATTTGACTATCCTACTCAAAATTATAGAGAAAGACCCCACTTATCACTACCAACTATGTACCTTCTAAACTCATTCAGTCAGATTTGGACCATCATAACAATCCTAATAAAAAAGTGGACATTGAACTCACGAAAAACCTTATTAGAAACCCTCCACCCCCCCCCCCATGATAAATCCCCACTTATGAACCACCTTATACTTGCCTTCTAATCTAATAGAGAATAGAAGCTTGTAACGTGAAGGGATATCCGGAAACTATACTTAAAACAAAAAGAAACCAAAAACCTACTTTATCCATCTTTATTTAAATTAGTGGACATTGAGTTATAATATTTAGATGCTATTCTGATATTTCCAATTTTATTTTAAAAGTAATTTACATTATGTTTTACGAGGCTCGTTTGCAGGATTAATTTATATACAAAATTTTTTTTTAATAAATTTAATTGATGGACATGTAATTTTTTTAAAAGCAATTTTAATTATAGGTAAAAATTAAATAATTTACTAAATTAAATAAATTGACTGCCCTCATTTACCTAATTTAAAATGTTTCAATTTTTTAAATGCTAAATACATATAAGGTTTAGGTACGAAAACAAATGCATAAGAATCTGTGAGACTTTCTAATTTTGTAAAATTATCATTAATATAGAAGAGGCCGATAAAACCACATCCCCGAGATCAGTAACAGGAATGAATTTCGAAAAGTCTAACGAGGGAGATCCCGAGTGATTAATCCAATGAATCGCTTTAAGGGGCGGTATCTCGTAAAATCACTTAAGGGATCCATTTGTGCTCAACTCTAGATTAAATGTTTTTAGAGTTAGCCTTTAAGCCGTATGAGAGAAAAAATTATCGGGTTTTATTGAGGCAAAAGGTTGAATTTTAGGTGTTACTTCGATCATACAATCAGTTAAAAATGCTTAAAAATGTGTCAAAAATATTATTTAAAAAATTTAAACTTGATTTAAAACAAAAACGTTTAAAATATAGTTGTTTTAAAATGTCTTTATTGATGGATTTTGCCTAGTATATAGAAAGAATTGACGTAAAAACAGGCTGGATACACTTTCTGTTTTATGTGTGTTTTGTTAGAGCCAAAGGAACAGCCAGCTAGTAAATAATAGAAAGGGGATTAGATAAATGGAATAACGGAAGTGAAATGCTTCTCGTTCCTTTATTTAACGTTTATTCCCAAATTTTAGCCCATCTTAGAAATTAAGCAAATTTAGTATTGGCGGAAAATATGAAGATCCAGATAGTGAAAAATATTTTTAAAGGTATACGAAGGTTTAAAGATATCCGGCTTTATTTTGTAACAGGATACCCATGTAAAATTTTGTGACTGTAATAGTTGGAGGACCGAGAAAAATTGATGTCATTAAGATTCAATACCAAAAATTAGGGTTGGTCAAGAACCCTTGATTCCCACGAGTCAACATCTATCCACTCACGACGATGATTTTTAGGTCATTGCCCGTCGCAGAAACTTAATTTAAAAAACTACAGACACACTAAAGACAAAATTTTTTATAAAAAATTTTAAAAATAATTTTATGAGTACAAAATTTGGTTATCAAATTGTATATTTTTAATAAAATTCATAAAATTCTTCAGCAACCAAATGCTTTGAAATATCAAAGCTAAAAGGTTTAGCGTCCAAATCATGTCCAAAGTTAGTTTCAACAGAATACCCCGAAATTTGTACAAATGGCTGGTAATAATCATTATTTCCTTCCAACACAATTGCCTTACCTATTAAAAAATTTATTCAAGAGACTTCAAAAAATCTTCCGTTTTTTAATATACCATCCCAATAATAATTACTAGAGTCCGACATTTTAGGTCCGAAAAAGTGAGAAATAGGTTCCTATTTTAGGTTTTTAAAGTGGCAAAATAGGCTCGAAAAAATCCAAAAAAGGCCAAAATAGGTCCAAATTTTGACCAAATAGGTTCAAATTTTTGGTTACTATACTGATAAAATAAAAAAAAATTTTGTGAAAAAATTTTTCCTTTTTTAATAATGAATAAAATTCGTGGGAGTACATTTGAATCTCGCTAAAAAACAACCCTTGTCGCTTATTCGATACCCCCCGTAGCACCACCGAAGATTTACTTAGTTATAATTTTGTTCAGAATTATCAATCGAGCTGATTTTGGTGTTATTCGACTCGGTTTAACGAGCTCTTCTGATGAGCTCATTTAACTGACAAGTCGAAAGAACCAATTAACACTTCCACTGAAATGCATTAACACACATACGATTTCAAAATTAGATAATTGCCCTTCCTGATGACCTTCCCGTTCTAGAAAGATGTTGAAAATCAATTTAGAATTAGTTCCTTAACTAAGATAGATATCTTTACCTAACATAGCTAAATGGTCCCCAAATTCTCATATAACTTGGTTAACTCCAAAAAGATTTCTTTACTAAATTCCTTACAAATTTGCTTTCCATTTTGAGTGTAGAAAGCGTATGGCATCTTATTTTCAAGTCTCGAAGCTGGATAAACAACACAACAACCAACGACATCGTCATCACTCCAAGTGAAATTTTCAAGTGTAAAACTCTGAGGAATATTCTCGTTTTGCATTTGGTAATGAATAATGCTACTAAGTGGCCACATTTTAATTGTATCACAGTTATTGGCAAGACCAAATGCCAAAGATTTCTGATCAGAAGTAATTCCTTCTTCCAGATTAAGTTTGAGTTCAAAGTAAAATAACGAGAAAACATTACAATTGACAGGCTTTTTAAATTGATTTGCGGCAGTTATCAATGGGAATTTGTTAACTAAAATATTTTTAAGAATTAAAGTTGATTAAATTTGAAGGAAATAAGTCTAAAAGTGCCGAGCTTGATTACACCAGATCCCTCCCGTTATTACGACCATATCCCCGACCTTTGAGAAAATATAATTTCACTCAATTTTTTAGATGTTTCTCACTATGCCATGCTTGAAACACTAAATCCCGATTCGTTTAAGTGTCGGCTTACTCTCTCGATTAGAATTTCGTGGGTTTCGAAGACTCCTCTGACTGGAGCGGATAAGGATTAGTTATTTAAATTATTCTAAAAAGGATAATTATATGTAACTATTTTAAAGTGTTAATCATTGTTTCACCCTTTGTTGTAAAGTGTATCTTGAGAGAGGCTAATTATTCGAGCATATAATGGAATAACTCTCAAAGAAAATTCGCGATAAACCTACCCTTTCCTTCTGCACATTTAATATATCTAATAGTCCCATCAGTAGTCAATTGAATAAATCCATTTCTAGACTTACAAGTACCATAAGGAGACTCAGTATTTACACATTTAGTCCCACAACATGGATATTTAGTAGTAACTTTCCATTCATTATCAATATTTACAAAAGACTAAAAATACTTTTTGTAATTTTAAATAAATTAACTAACCCCTTTCTTAAATGTTGAACTATTTAAATATTTCAATTCAACTTTCATAGAGTCAACCGAATTTCTAGTTGCAACATTCGAATCATCCACCTTTGATAAAATTAAATTACCTAATTTTTTTATTAAGGTTATTAAAATCAAGACTTATATTTCTACTTATATTTACAGTAACCCTTAGCAGGACTTTATTTGTCGGTAATAGTTAAGTTTGTGTTTCCACTTTTTCCTTTCGGCTGTAGTGTAATGTACCCGAGGTAAAAGTTCGGGACATGACATATGTCATTCGATTCTTCTCGATCAGCTGACAATTTCAGGAACCCAATTTCAGGAATGATTCTGGACCGAGTTACATATGTCACGTCCCGAACTTTTACCTCCGGTACACTACACCACAGCCGAAAGAAAAAACGGAGAAACACAAGCTTAACTATTACCAATTTGTCAAACATTATAGTGAGGATTGAACATACTAGATTAGAAAAACATGGAAATACATTACTTTCTGGTCACCCTGTATAAGGAAACGAGACGTCATGATACTCAAAAATTCGGAATTTCGATGCTTTTGTGCCAGGTATTAAAAATTTCTTGAGAATTCGGCTTATTCCCTGCTTTGTATCATAAGCGTTTTAATTAACTATCAATCATTAAGGCTTCCGAGAAATCTTTTGTCGGGCAAAGATTTAGATTAGGCATGTTTAAAATTCCTTTGTAATCCTCTACTACTGACAGTTACCTTTTTAATTTTTTCAACTTGATCCTGATGTTTTTTCAAGCACTCATTTCTAAGGTCAACGAGCTTCTTATCAAAATCTGTCTGAATATTTAAAAGTTGTGAATGTTGAAGTCTCTTTTCCTCCTAAAATAAGATTAATTCTAAAAATTAATTTAAATAATTGAATCACTTTTTCTTTAGCTTTCTCATCAATCAAATTTTGAAGTGTTTTTCCAAATTCTTCAATTTTATTTAATTGATCCGATCCATTTATATCAAACTGTAAAATTGTTATGATAAAGGTTTAAAGTCAAACTGTGATTTTATGTAATCCCAAACTTGAATATACCTCAAGTTAGGATACTCTAAATGCTCAACTAATTACTCTCCCTCGTATAACATTACTTTCTAAGAGGGATTAAGAAGGTATTTAATCGCATTATACGGAATATGTTACAGA